GACATTTGTAAAACACACTTTTTATGCATCCGAAGAAGTGGGCTGTAGTCCACGAAAGCTTATGCTCTAATAAATTTGTTAGTCTCTAAGGTGCCACAAGTCCTCCTGTTCTTCCATTTCAAAGGTTCATTGGACTATAAAATAGAGGGGCCAAGAAACCCCAAGTTATCTTTCACCTAAGAAGATGAAGGTACCAGCCTTTTGACTGTGGAGGATAGACCCTGAGCCAGGAATTTGGTCAGCCATCTTGATGGAAACGTGGTGAGGATTTTACCTTGAACCAAGTCTAGCTTGTTAAGTTTAGTTACCAGAATACACTTTCTCTTTATTTCTCTTGCAACCATTTCTGAGTTTAATCCGTACACTACTACTCACTTAATCGCTCTCTTTGTAATTAAACTTGTTTTATTTTTAACCTAAACCAATCCAGTACTATGCTTGAATTGGTTGGTAACTCTAGTTAAAGTAACAAACTGTTGAATATTGACTTTTTGAAGGAAAAAAAGAACCTTGACATTCCTTTGATAGTACCAGGACAGGGCTGAACATTTCAGAACACATGTTTTTGAGAAAATTGGGGGTTGTGGGGAGTGTGCAATCCCTTACTAGTTGTTAACCAAGTCAGGTGGAGACCAGTGGAAGGCTGTGGTATTGCAGGCAGGCTCCAAGATCCAAAGTGTTGGCCCAGGGCTGCCCAATACATAGACATAGTGCATGCTTGTTGTTGACTGTGGGCATTCCAGGAAGAGAGCTACAGTAGCAACGCATTGAGAGGCACTCCGGCTTACAGGGTAAGAGGTGACAGTCTTCACTAGTCTGGACTGCACCCCAGACTCTGACAGTTTCCCAAGGACTTGACCTTGTATTTCCTATACACCGTGAACTCCCCGACTTTAAAGGTGAATTCTGGATGCACAAGGAATGTGAGATCATATGGTTAAGTTAATCATTTAAAATGCAATGCCTCATATGCCATGATCGTCCCCCATTCCAGTAAGCTTAGATATAACTATATGTACATGTTTTCAGTGCAAAACATTGCACAATCATGCCTGTTGATCATAGTTGTCAGATCTTGATCTTCTTTGTATTTCCTCTTTAAGAGGTTCTTATTACATTTGTATTTTGATTTTGGACTCCTTTAGTCTTTGACAAAAAGTCAGAAGTAATCATCTCCCAGCATGCATTTTGCTTTATCTTGTGCCCTAACTTAAAAAAACAGCTTCCATGCATTAAGTAAAGTATCTAGTCTTATAACAAAAGACACTATATCACCCTAACAACTGCTTGGAATTTAAGGCATTTATTTTGCAACGGCAGTAATTTTTTTTTAAGTATTTAAACAGCTCTAAATTATACCTAGCCTGGGAAATTGCATATCACATTTTGGCTAAATGTGCTTTGAGAGAACCAAGATAAAAGACATAAACCCTAAAAATGGAGATGATTAATACTGAAAGTTCTAACTACAGAAGTGTCTGTCTATACCAAGAGTGGGCAAACTACAGCCTGTGGGCCGGATCCAGCCCCTCATGGCTTTGGCTCCAACCCGCGAGATTGCCACCCTGTAGCGCCGCAGGCCCCGCTCTGGGAAGTGGCCGGCCCCATGTCCCTGAGGGAGGGAGGGGCAGAGAGCCAATGGGAACTTTGGGGGAAGCACCCACAGGCTAGGGCAGTCCTCTGCACCCCCAACCCCTCAGAGGCCGCAGGGACGTGGTGCCAGCTGCTTCCCGGAGCAGAGTGGTGCGGGGCCAGGGACAGGGCAGGCAGGCAGGCAGGGAGCCTGACCTGGCCCCGGTACGCACCGCTGCCACCCCGGAGCCACTCCAGGTAAGTGGCACCGGGCCGGAGCCTGCACCCTGAACCACTCCTGCACCCCAACTTCCTGCCCTGAGCCCCCTCCTGCACTCCACACCCCTCCCTGCACCACTGCCCTGAGCCCCTTCCCACACCCCTCCTGCCCCCCAACCCCCTGCCGTACCCTGCCCCCCTCCTGCACTGCACCCCCCTGACCCAACCCTACATTCATGGCCCTGCCTGCAGTTTCCCCACCCAGATGTGGCCCCCGGGCTAAAAAGTTTGCCCACCCCTGGTCTATACAGTACTTAAAAATTCAAAAATGAAAGTATTAGTTTGCAGGGGTATGCTGAAATATAGGTCACAGACTAGTAGACCAATATTATAGTGATGGAGTATGTTTATTTTTCTTTTTTAAAGCAAAAGGGATAAATTGAATCCATTAAAGCTTTCAGTTCTATTCATTAACAGAACCTAGGACACCCCGAAGCTGAAACATCAGAGGAAATGTTAGGTAGGCAGAATATAATCACCCAAACTAGAATTTGGGCAGAAGAGCAGGGTTTGCCCCCCTACCCTTTCAAGAAGTGTCATGCTTAATATTGCATTACTGGTTTTTTTGCACATAATTTATACTTCATAATCACTACTGGTAACACTGTACATACTTAAGTGGTTGTAGGTTCAGGGCTTATGTGCATGCTTCATTATCCCTTCACTTTAATTAACTTGAAGCACATGAGTAGTCACATTCATCACATGCATAGATCTTTGCAGGGCAAAGGCCAGACACTGAATGTTCGTTAATGAATAAGTTTATCACTAATCACCTTTTTGGTGTAATATTTCAGAAGTTGGAGCAAATACTGCTGAGATAAACTCCTTTAAGGGTGCTAGCAACCGAAATCCTAACCCAGAGAAGCAAGTGGGAAAGTTTTGTCATTGACTTCCATGAAAGCAGGATCTGGTCCATGAACATATCCTTGCTCCCATACCACTTGAAAACCCAAGATACGAGGCTTTTTTACCTGAAGATTTTATAAAGCAGAGCCTGCTCTTAAGTTTGTAAGGTGAATGTTAGTGACATGAATTGCTACATCATGTAATGTGAATCGTATGAGGAAGTTAAATTAAGTAAGTATTGTTTATTAAGTTTTTAAATATACAAGCAAACAACAGGACCAATCTCCTGCCTACCACCTAGCAAGGATCCTGTGCAGTACCTCCTAATTCTTCCCTACACCTGTAACTCCCAGCCTTCTCCCAAGTTAGGTGATCTATCTGTATTCTCTCTTTTGTGCATTGGGGAGGGTAACAAATCTCCAGTTTCTCTGTCCAGCAATGCACATTTTTCCTATTACCAGTGGCACATTCTTCATCTCTGCAAAGGAAACAGAGGAAGTTTCTCACATTTCAGTTCTCTCCTACCCAAGTGCTGATTGAGTGGTAGAACCAGACACAGCAGCAGCTCTCCTAATTAACATTTCCACACAATGTTCCTCTTCATTTGCTGTAGTCTCTTCACACCTAACCAGTCATAACCAGGAGCCACAGTGCTTGAGAAGAAACTCAAAGCAAAAATTTAGAAAAAAAAATATACAGTATATGCAATTAACTAAAAATCTACATTTGAGAAAACATGCGTGTTCCTTTCAGTCTGAGTGCATTGTTAATTATAATATAAAAAGAAACCTAACACTGTAGAAGATAGGATGGTTTTTCAATTCTATTTGAAGGTTTCTTTATATGCAGGGTTGACAAACAGTTATGACTTTATTGCTTGGAGTATGCTGTACCCTTCTGTCAAACTCCACCTACTGGATTATTTTATTACAACAGGCACAAAGAAAGAGGGTATGTTCACACTAAAACCTTAAATCAACCTATGTTAGGAGTAATTACTGCAGTGGTGCATGTCCACACTATCCTCCTGGGGGTGGTGGTGCAAGTCCTCACTAAGGGTACATCCACACTACCCACTGGATAGCGATCGATCTATCGGGGATCGATTTATCGCGTCTCGTCTAGACGTGATAAATTGATTCCCACCGTGCTCCCCGTCGACGCCAGAACTCCACCAGGGTGAGAGGCGGAAGCGGAGTCGACGGGGGAGCCACGGCTGTCGATCCCGTGCCGTGAGGACGGGAGGTAAGTCGAAATAAAATACGTCCACTTCAGCTACGCTATTCTCGTAGCTGAAGTTGCGTATCTTATATCGACCCACCCCTCTAATATAGACCAGCCCTAAGAGTGCTTCCGCTGACCTAAAAGGAACAGTATGGGGGAGCTGAGAGCCCAATCTCTCAGCTCTGTTGGCAGCTCTCTGTCAGGAACTCAGCTGCCAACAAGCTCCCAAAACTTCTCAACTTCCTATTCCCTGCCAGGCGAGTGGGCAGGGAGATGGCACCTGGAGCTTCTTGCCCCTAGAGTGGGGTCCAGCTGTCCCAGCTTCTTAGCCCTCCCCCCCCCCCCCACTCCACCAGAGCCGTGAAATTAACGAGAGTGCTAACAGCCACTGTAAATAACACAAAGTTTACACAGACACTGCATCACCCTAACTCCATCAACATAATCCCTATGCCTCTTGTGGAGGTGGTCATTATGGCAGTGTAGTAGGGGACTTACATTGGCAGGACAAGGCTGTAGTGTAGACACTGACATAATTAGGTCCATGTAAGCTGCCTTATGTTGACCTGTGTAGTGTAGACCAGGACTGAGTTAAGACAGTGCTGACAGCAATGTTCAACTGTTGCAATGCAATTCAGGGCTGAGAATCTAGATATAAAAAGCCTGAAATTAGGTCAGCCACATTGTGTATAAATATTATTTGGGATTACTACTAATGCTGTTCATGTGTACTATCCTGTACCTGTAATACAGCAAAATTGTTGCTGTAAAAAAATGCAATTCCTTTGCTGTCAAATACTATAGGATATAGCATTAAAGGGCTTAGCACCTTGAGGGGAATAGAGGAGGGTAGGAACAGTTATTTAACAAATACCAACTCTAAAATGACTATATGCTGGTTGCTCGGGGTTCTGGATTCCAAAGTAAAGGTGGATGTCTGATAGGCAACTGTTTCCTTGGAACACTTTTTAAAGTAAGCTGTCATAAATTAGTTACATTAAATAGTAGAGGCCAGACACTGCAAGCTGCCCAGAAAAATGTCTATTAACTCAAAAACGAGATGTTCCCCCTTCCTGTCAGTGATATTACTCAGCCAAAGAGAGGGAAGTTTCTGTCTACGAGAGAGAAACACAAGAGACTTGTCTCCCATTTAGAACTCTCACTTTAGGATTCATACCATGAAACTAGACCCTCCACAAAACTAATTTAGTGTTGGTGAATACTTATTCCACTGTTACTAACTAAAGAACTAGTGTACTTCATGTACAGACTAGTATGTTTTCTACATGGGTTCCACCATGTTGACTAACAGAATATTGCATAAGCTCCCTAGGCTGAATAGCATTGTTGTCAGGGCACCAGCTTGGTATTGTCCTTGCCCTTGATGTGATGTTTGAGGTATCTTGAACATTACTGTAGGTGATGTAGCTTTTCTTTAAAGCACTAGAATGCAAGTCAGTATAGAGACAAATAGCATTGCCATGCCTCATTGATGTAGTCTTGCTCAAATAATTAAGTAAAGAATTAGGCTCCAATGACTGCATTTCCTGGGTCCTTTCACTCAATGCACACCGTGGATCACTGTTGCTAGAAAATAATGATCTCACGGAAACTGTGTTTAGTTGTACAAACTTTAAAGTAATATACTTACCTTGCTCAGGAGCTCAGCTATTTTCTCTCACAAGTATGGTTTCTTCACAAGTATGGTTTCCTTCACTTCTTTACATACAGGTCAAACATGAGAATTTCAACAATTGATGACCAAGTGTTTTTACCCATATTTTGAGGCCCCCCAAAGAAAAAAACCAGATCTTCAGACTACTTCTATATTAAATTGGATCTGTGTATTTGCAGATGTTTTTTCCCTATTAGTTCAGTTGAAAGTCCTGTTCACAGCCCCAGGCAGATGCTCTCTTTAATATCATTATATCCAAGTTAATTACTCCCAGAGTACACAAGTACTAACAAAAAGTTACCCCCTTTAGAGCAGTCCTTAGCACTGAAATGGAGAATACAGACATTACATCTGAAAACTGTCAATTACCAAAAAAGAAGTTTCACCCTTCTATTAATGTATTTTAATGGATCTTTCTATAGAAATTTTAATGGATACTATGTTGTTCTCTTACTGCTATGCATTGAACAAAAACATAAACCGACTCCTGTAACTACTTTATTAGCTCTTCAAAGTGACATTAACAGGAGAAACCTGACAACTGTAGAATATCTGCAATGCAAAGTTCCATAAAAGATCCAGTTCAGTCGTAGCCATTGGATGAACTACTTTTTCTCTCTTGAAATAAGTGAATTTATTTTTGCCAGATCGCCAAATGACACTGTTGCAGAACCTTTCTGGGCAGGTCTTGCCTGAAAAACAAACAAACGAACAAAGGGCTCATCTTTATGTTCTAAACAAATCACACAAACCTTTAAAAAGAGCCCCTTAGTTGCTTAGAACAAAAAAGGTGCTATCTTATGAAATATGGAAGTTACTGACATTCAAACATAAAGCAATGGATAGGCTTCATGTTACCTGTGACTCTTGGAATTTCCAGCCTATCATGTAATAAATCTGAAATGTAGCAGGTACTGAACCATCATTACTTCCATACATTTCTATTAAAAAGAGAAATGGGTTTATATACATTGAAGAATTAAGTGTGAAATGTTGAATCTGACAACAGTTTTTGCTGAAAGCAACTATACATTTTTGAAAACTATTTTTACTGTGAAGAAAGGAAGACCCTTAAAATTCTGATTGTAATAAGGTACAGAAGACAAGATGAGATCCCAACCATACAAAATGTGAAGCTATTACAAATCTACAGTAATTACTATTAAAAAGATATTACAAAAATAAATGGTACTTTTGAGTTAAAAATAGAGAACCACATTGTGTCTTAGATAAGTAAAAAAAAAAAAGTTACATGGAAAACAGGTATGTTCATAGACCCAATGAAGGCTAAAAAGATAGCGATTAAATGTGTACTTCTACCTTGATATATTGCTGCAGCTGCCAACATGGTTTCTCTGTGTAGGATAGGCTTCCTATTCCAAGAACAGTTACTCTCTCCCATACCTAAAAATATGTTTCAGCTTTAAAAAAAGATACAGTATACACCATGAGTTTGAAATTTCATGTGTAAATCACACGTTTATATTAAGTCAATACAGAGGCAGAATCCTCCAAATAGAAGGGTACAGCATACAGAGATTTGATTCAAGCGAACATCTACTTTACATTGTGAAGATGCAAAAGCCTTGCATAGCTTGTATTACAATTTATGGTTATAAAGTTAGCCATTTCACTATGTTATCGTCCAGAAGACTTATTCTGCTATGTAATGGTCTTGATTTTTTTAAATAAGCAAGTTAGTCTGCTTATTTCCAGAATCTGAATACTGATGATTAAGCCTACCCCTCCATTATTATTTATGGATTTTTTAAAAAAGGATACTAAACAGAAGTATAAAGTGGCTATATAGAGGCAACAGTGATATATCTGCAACAATGTAATAACAAGGGTTTCATGCCGAGAAGTCTTCCAGTTTCCTCACACTCTGATTTAAGGCTCCCACTCTTCAGCTCCTAAGCAGCTACCTGAATATTCTGATTTTTAAGCAGCCTCTCATGTAAGGCCATTTGAAATCTGTCCAGAGGCTCTGCCCTCTTGCAGCACTCAACTTCCACCTACAGAGCTGTACAGCAACAGAGATAGAGCTGGTTCTACAAACAGTGGCCAGCAAAGAGAGCATTAGGGAGACAGCAAATTCTTCTTTGTAGGCTAAAATAGATCAGGAGGAGGGAGGAGATTATCCCTAGCCCCTCCATAATTCAGGGGAAAGGTAATAGTTCCTCAGGGAAAACTTAAAGAAGGAACTAGAGAGCCTGGGAGGGGAAAGGACAGAGGGAACTCTGTGCAAGGAACTGATATGTGGTTGCATGTGGGAAAAACTGATTGGATGATAGCACCTCATACAAGTACTGTAGTGCGTGCAATCACTTTATTGTGAAAGTGCAACTTACACATGTAGATTTTTATTGGTTAAATAACTGCACTCAAAAACAAAACAATGCAAAACATTAGAGCCTACAAGTTCACTCAGTTCTATTTCTCGTTCAGACAATTGCTAAGACAAACAAGTTTGTTTACATTTACGGGAGATAATACAGCCTCCTTCTTATTTACAATGTGACCAGAAAGTGAGAACAGGCGTTTGCATGGCACTTTTGTAGCTGGCATTGCAAGCTATTTACATGCCAGATATACTAAACATTCGTATGCCCCTTCATGCTTCGGCCACCATTCCAAAGGACATGCTTCCATGCTGATGACGCTCATTAAAAAAATAATGCGTTAATTAAATTATTGACTGAACTCCGTGGGGGAGAACTGTATGTCTCTGGCTCTATTTTACCCACATTCTGCCATATATTTCACGTTATAGTAGTCTTGGATGATGACTCACCACATGTTGTTCATTTTAAGAACACTTTCACTGCAGATTTGATAAAACTCAAAGAAGGTACCAATGTGAGATTTCTAAAGATAGATACAGCACTCTACCCAAGATTTAAGAATCTGTAGTGCCTTCCAAAATCTGAGACAAATGAGGTATGGAGCATGCTTTCAGAAGTCTTAAAAAGACCAACGCTCTGATGCAAAAACTACAGAACCCGAACCACCAAAAAAGAAAATCAACCTTCTACTGGTGGCATCTGACTCAGATGATGAAAATGAACATGCGTCGGTCTGCACTGCTTTGGATTGTTATTGAGCAGAACCCACCATCAGCATGGATGATTGTCCTCTGGAATGGTGGTTGAAGCATGAAAGGACATATGAATCTATAGCGCATCTGGCATGTAAATGTCTTGTGACGCCAGCTACAACAGTGCCATACAAACACCTGTTCTTACTTTCAGGTGAAATTGTAAACAAGAAGCAGGCAGCATTATCTCCTGCAAATGTAAACAAACTTGTTTGAGTGATTGGCTGAACAAGAAATAGGACTGAGTGGACTTGCAGTCTCTAAGTTTTATATTTGAATGCAGTTTTTTTTTTAACATAATTCTACATTTGTAAGTTCAACTTTCACGATAAAGAGATTGCACTACAGTACATGTATTAGGTGAATTGAAAAATACTATTTTTTGTTTTTTACAGTGCAATTTGTAATCAAAAATAAATATAAAGTGAGCACTGTACACTTTGTATTCTGTGTTATAATTGAAATCAATATATTTGAAAATGTAGAAAACATACAATTCATTTAAATAAATTGTATTCTATTACTGTTTAATCACTTGACAGCCCTAATTAATATGTAAATTCAGGCATTCCAAGGCTAGAACGAATAATTCTTCCTAATCAAGCATTTTACCATTCTCAGATAACAGGAGAACTTTTCTGCAAGGTTTAGCTGGAGTTAAGAAACAGGCACAACCTCTAGCCTCCAAATACTACCACACCTTATTGTATTTAGCCAATTTTGAACAATAACCTACACGTTGTTTGTGAAAAATGTACTTACCTTGCAAATCTTCCATGACCTCAAACATCCCTGGATAGTTGACTTGAATTTCATCAGTATCCTAAAAAATGTTTAATTCAAGTGTATAGGTAACTAAAGCAAAACAAGAGATTGCTCTATGAAAAGAAAATAATTTGCAAGACTATACAAGTTGTTTTACTACTTGTCTCCCATTTATGCAACATAATTACACTAAGAAAAACATTACACATGGATAGCCATGTCTACATTCCTATAGAAATATATTTAGTAACTCAATTTGAATCACCAAATTCAGATTAAAGTGCCATTATAAGCAAAAGGAAGAGAAAAATAGCAATTGACCGTTAGTGTCTTACATTTTTACTAGTAGGTCTGAAGGTCTCAAAAAAGTTGTGTGGACCAGAAGCTAACCAAGCCAAGCCTTGCTGGAACAAAAACACCACTTCAGCTGATCTCAGTAAATTATAATGGTGCTGAGACCAGAGGAAGGCTAAAGTAGCCAGGTGTCAAAACTACAGGATTTTATATAAACAAGTTAAATTGTAAATAGAACTAAAGAGGCAACCAATTCAGTGCTGCCAAATTCCTAACTAGCTGATGCTGTAGTCTTCAAGGGAAGCAATGGATTATTGCCCCTTGCAAAGCACAATCAGGAGATGGATGACAGAAGGGAGTTTCGCATCCTAAAGAAAACACTACAATCTCGTACCTATCGATTTTAAAAACAGTATAAGCCACTCTACTACTCAAGGTATAGAGCAGGGGTCGGCAACCTTTCCGAAGTGGTGTGCCGAGTCTTCATTTATTCCCTCTAATTTAAGGTTTCGCGTGCCAGTAATACATTTTAATGTTTTTAGAAGGTCTCTTTCTATAAGTCTAATATATAACTAAACTATTGTTGTATGTAAAGTAAACAAGGTTTTTAAAATGTTTAAGAAGCTTCATTTAAAAATAAATTAAAATGCAGAGCTCCCCAGACTGGTGGCCAGGACCCGGGCGGTGTGAGTGCCGCTGAAAATCAGCTCACGTGCCTCCTTTGGCACATGTGCCATAGGTTGCCTACTCCGGTATAGAGTATCCAGAATTACTCTGACACTTCAAACTCCTTTTGCAAGAGTTATACACAGTCCAGCAAATGGAGATGTCAGTCTCCATAAACTACAAGAGTTGTTTTACACTGCTCAAGTAAAAGACCACCTTCTGCAAGTCCATTTCCATGTATGGGGTTTTAAACATTTATGAAAGAACATGCATATAATATTCCAATCTCTATGTACCCAAAGTTTACACATTTTGAATACAAATTTCTTTTGTGGTCCATATTCCTAATACCAGTGTGTAACAGTGCTGACATGAACAGCAACAGATCGAACACGTTGATTGTTCTTCAATGCATTACTAAATTAAAATTATAGCAAGGTTCAATACAAGTTCAGTCAAGATACATTTCATACAGAACACACAGTACTTAATTACAACACATCTACGTTACTAAGGCAAATGAGCAATTGACTTAAACCAGAACAGTGGGTTTCCACATCTCTGAATAATCAGGCCACTTAGTTAGGCACCTATGTCCATATTTAAACACCTCCAACATGTAAATATTTACCTCAATTAATGTTAAAGAAAAGGTTTAGTTCATTGTAAAGCTCAAGGCATGTAGTACACACAGTTTAGCAACAATTATGGAGGCAGCTTTAGGAGTCTGGGAACAATTGTAGTTTTGTGACTGACTATCAACTAGGTCATGTCTAGTATACCTAGTAAATGCACTCATTTAATTAATATGTTTATATGTATTTATTTAGTTTCATAAAAACATTAAGATGCTTTGGACAGTCAATTTCAAGGTGAGCACAAGTTCATGTGGTTTGTCATTCACCAACTTAAGTTTTTAATTTGCACCTATCACTGTAGTAACAAGTTTTTACCTAATACCACCTTATGACATGTATTACTGCTAGTCTCAGCACTTATTTGATCTTCGGAGCTAGAAATATAAAAAGGGAAAATCACTATCACCTTAGCTATGACATTCACCTCTGATTTAGTCAAGTCAGACTTCCTTGTTAGTAAAATTAAGAGCAGACTACTTATGCTCAAGGCAGAACCAGTTCTACGAAGGCAGGTAATGTGTTCTCCACTGCAATTTCCTAAAGCTTTGAAACCATGAACACAGATCAACAGTACATTTCTGTATTAGTTTCCATGAAGATAACCTGCCTTTGCTAAAGAATCATGCTGTCTATCCCATGGAGATATGCCATGCCCAGGTTCTTTGCTCTATTACCTCTCTATTGAAAGGCTAATAGAAACAAACCAACATCCTTTATCCTAGAACCCAAGGAGTTTAGTATTACTCATTGGCACCACTGTTAATTTTCCAAAACTGTTCCACTCATCATATTGATAATTACCACAGTCAATGTGTTAAAGCCAGCTCTTCCCAGCAGATGTCCTAAATCAGTGACATCAGTGAAAGGAGATACATGTGGTGAGAATCCTCCTTCTCTTTCCAGTTCTGCTAGTTGCAAAGAGCAACGAAGTTCATACAGAGTTTCTCCTCCAAACATGGCACCAATAAATACTCCATCTGGCTTAAGGACTTGATGAATCTATAATACAGAAAATCTGTTTAATATTAAAGGTCTGCAAAGGTTTCTGGTACAAAGTTCTTAAAAGTTTTCTTTTTGCCTGTACAGAAAGGATGAAGCACCAAGATCACTGAAGCAATTGAGTATCTCCTCCCCTTACTTTCTAGCACTTGAAGAATCAGGGTTAAAGAAACAAGAAGCTTAAAGTTGGATGTTTTATTTCTGTTGGAGGTTCTTTTAGTTCATTTTATACAGGAAATATTAAAATACCTGGTAAGACTAGATAAAATAAATGAAAGTGTTTGTTGTAAGCAATTCAATTTGCTGTCTGAGCTCAGCAGTAATCTGCATCTGTAAAATACCTTAGTTAAATTTCTTTATCACACACTATACCAAACATTCATTCAACACAATTTGTTTTTAAATTGCTGCAATAGCAGAATGCAACTGAGTGAAATTTAATATCACATGATTCAGGGCCCAGTCCAACTCCCACTGATTTAGAAAAGGCAAGGCAATTTTACTTTTAACTGACCGTTTTCAAGCAAATGTATCTGATTTTGTATGCTGAAACATAAGTAATTGTGCACACAAGATGGATCTTAAGTGTGTGCCTGGATTTCTGAGAAGAGTATCGGGTTCTATTAACACGAGGAGGTCCTGCCAAAGTTTTTAGTGGCATAACAGGCTATAAAATCTTCCATACGGAACCTAAGTCATCATTTTGCATTTATGCCTCGGAGCAATTCCCTAGGAAACCAAGTACTACCAAATTGCATTAAATTCAAAACATGCCTATGCATAGGCAAGACTATTATATCTGCATGGAAAATTCTTAACAGACACAAGAACATCTGCAGCTATTTACTTGTGAACAGAAAATACAGTAGGACAGATTATGTATTTTTGCCATACTTTTCCAGAGGTGTATTGTAAATAGTTTGAATTTTAAGAGTTTAGGATAGAGAAGTAGACTTCCCTCACTTTCCAAAAGTGATTTTTGTTCTTGTGAATGAGTGACAAGTGGTGGAATTTGTGATAACAGTCTGTCCTTAGATCGTGTAGTAGTATAACCATCTCTGATCCAGAGAAACCCGTAGGTTGAAAGAACATTTTAACACTCAAATTCTTGAACCCCTCTTGTGAGAGTGCCAACAAGCTTCATAAATATTTTGCTTAGCATAGAAAACTGTTCACTATGAATGGACAAATAAAATAAGTCAGGTAACAAACAGATAATCAGACTTATCAGATAGTAACAACTTTCAGTCACCACTTGCCTCAGATGAATTCCAACTAATGTCATTGAGGTAAAAAGGCTCTTGACTGATACCTTTTTTTTGAATCATCAGAACTGATGAAACAGATAATTTATATAAAATATGTAAATGATCTGACTTACAAAGTAATGTGCAATGCAAGATATTGGGGGAATGAGTAGTATTTAATCAGGTTATCAGCCAAGGTGTCTTATTCTGTGCTAATGTTGAGACATTTGATCAGCTAGTCAGCAGATAGCACCTTTCAGTAACTACTATCAAGTATATGTGGCATAAGTTTAAGAAGTTAGCTGCAAATCCATTACTTTAAGCCATTGGTCCAAAAGTTATATATTAGGAAGTTAGTCATAAAGCACAAGCAGTTTTTAACTGAAGAAAATTCCTTTATATCTAACTGCAATTTGAAAGAGATTCTAATGTAAGAAATACTTCTGCATGGAAAATTATTGCAATTTAAGAAAGTTGAATATAACAGAACATGTTTTATCAACTGCTTTGAGACTGGAATGTGTGTACAAGTTATGTTATATGTTTGGTTATCACTCAGGAAGACATGTGTTCCACGGGTTAACCAAATGACAATCTTAACAAGGTATCAAAATCAATATGGATACATCAATTCACAGCTGTTAATTTTGTCATCTCAGGTATTTAAACCTTTATCAATACAAAGTATGTGAAGAGTGGGGTCATTTCTTTTCTAGCTAATGTCTCAAAGTAGCAGAATTTGAGTCCTCTTAATGACAGACAACAACAAAATGGGTGGACAGTATTAAATCATATTTAATCAGACTTCTAGGGATATGACCAAAAATATTTCAACAAAAGCTGTCCGCACACATCTTTGAAATAAGCAAAAAGAGGAAGGCAGTACATATGAGAAGTAACTGCAAACCAGAATTAGTGCTGATTACCGGTAACAGCAACAGTTTTTCTTACCTCTCTAAAAGCTCTAGGAAGGTCATTCACCCAATGCAAACTAAAATACAAAGTGTACATTTTATTAAGGTTTAAGTGGTGAATAAAATTTGAGTAAAGGCAAGTAGCTGTCACAGCAAAAAACACTTCAGAAGCCAAAGCAAAGAACTATCATCAACTCTTCCCCAATACAAGTTTTTAATGTAATTATACAAGTTGTCAAATAGCTGCACAACAAATTTGATAGTATTCAAGAATGACTAAATTCATATACAGTACTATCAAAGATCTTTAAGACTAGAAAATGCTTGACTTTAGAAATACCATTCAAATGCCATTGCCTAGTTAAACCCTTTATGTTCTTGGGCAAGAACATCACTATTCCCTTATCTGATTTTACAAACATTAAACTTTAGTGAAATGATTAATACAAACCTTAAACTGCTAACAACAAGATCAAATGTGTCTTCTTTGAAGGGAAGGAATTCTTCATCAGCTACAATACTGACAGTGGGGATTTCAGTTTCCATAGTATTTTTCTAAGTCAGGTTAGAATAAATACACAGAATTTCAAACTGCATTTGATGCTATATTTCTTTTGTTTATCAGTATTGTGGAATTAAAACATGGCAAGCAGAAGTCAGATTGCTACTCACCAGAGCATTCTCTGCCATATCTACTTGAAAAAGTTTTTCAACTGTTTCCTGAAATAAGAAAAATCTGTCAAATATTTAGATTTATAAACCAACAAGAGGC